TCCAGATTTCCTTTGCAGAGGGCTTGTTGGTGTAAGCATCTGCTAGATGATCAGCCAGGCAATTAAGGAGATAACTCCTGCAGAAGTGATCATCTTTAGCCCAAGAGGCTTCAGCTTCAGAGTCTTCTTCAGAGTCGGGTTTTTCCTCAGAAACCACATAGTAGATTTTCAGGAGTTGCATCCCAAAGATTACTTTCCGACGCCATGCGTTGAAGTTGGAACCGTCAAAGTTCTCTAACTTAAGACAGTCCACTCCAAGAGTCCTCGCAGGATCCATGGTAGATCAAAATAATGCTTTAAGATTGTTGGCGCATGTGGTTAAAACTGGAATAATACAGATATATAGCAGCTAATAACTGAAAGAAAGCTGAAGTACATTAAATTAAAATTTTCAACTCAGCTGCTGTGCATTTGTAAAACGCTGTGCTTAAAGCATTATTTGGCCTACTCCGGTGCAAGGATCCCAAGGCCAAATTGCTTCCAGGAACAGCAGTCCAGTACTCTGGTGTGCACCAACCCAGTACTGTCAAGATCTCCTCGATCTGTAAGGCAAAGATCTCCTCGATCTATCAGGCAAAGATCTCCTCGATCTCCTCAGGCAAAGATCTCCTCGATCTGTAAGACCTTCTCGGTCTAGGCACTGTTCCTACTAGCACTAGCTATTCTACAATATATATCTGTATATATTGATTGTTGTTTTTGGAATGAATTTTCCTTAAAGATTTGAGGTCTATTTATAGCGTTTGGAAAAACACTATGCACTAATAAAATATTATTAGTTACTATTCATGTGGGGCCCACATTACTTGTTTTTCAAAATAAATTAGGCAGATGTTGAATCCTTGCAAAAAAGTTAATCACGTTTATTTTACTGTTCATTAATTTCAAAGATGTCTGCACCGTCCTCTCATATTTCAAAAGAAGTTAGGCTAAAAGGTTTGTGGGACCCACTAGTATTAAAAAAAATTATCTAACAATTTGAAATGGGGGAAAAGCAAACCCTAGTTGTAAATTGTTGAGAAATTCGTCGGCGTCCTCAAAAAGCAGCAGTGCACAGCTCCGGTGTACTTCCCGCGGCGGATGGAGGCGGAGGAGGAGGCGGAGGAGATGGCGGTGGGGAAATCCCTGCTCCGGAACGACAAAGGCGGAGCGGCGATCGAGCTCAAGCACGGCGACAATGGAGCTTGAGAACGGAAGTGGGGTAATTCTGTTCCCCTCTTGTTCCAGGGAAAAAAATGGGGTAAATTTGGAGAGTGGGGGTGAGGAGTGCTTATATAGTTGGGGTAATTTGGGGGAAAGTGGGGTATTTGTCCCCCATTTATCCCAACAAACCAATAACACCATAAAGGTGGTTCCAGTTCCAAATACCCCAATGAATAACACCAAACATTGTTGTTCCAAAAATTATCCCATTATCCCCAAAATTACACCAATGAGTAACCCCCCCTTAGACTTGATTGCGGATTATTAGCTGGGTGATGTCAAATTCAGAGCCCGCACTGTTAAAAACAAAAATTTTGAAGCTACTTAAGCCTTCTTGTGCATATAACGTTTCTCTCTCATGAGGTGTGTCAAGGAAATCAAGAGAGAGGTATTCATCAGAATTTTTCGCTCTTCCATCCCCTCTCATGGTATCTCATACTTGTAATGAACTTGTGCTGAGAGGTTTGTCTTTTGCTCACCATTTCTATTCTTTTACAGTCTCTGTTTGGGATTAGCTAATTTATTCATGCCTAAGTTTCTTTTAGGATTTGTTTGGTACATGAGTAAAGGGGGTAAATTTTGTTAATATGTTGTTAAAAGGTCTTGATACCCTATGAGTTAAGAAAGAGGAGAGCAAAAGATTATCTATTATATATAAAATAAATAAGAATAAAATTATCCAAAATATGTTACTTGTTTATCACATCTCAACTTAATAATGGTGTTGCTTGTAACAATTTGAAAAAAAGATCGTTATGTCTTCTCTAACAAAATAATTTTGTAATAATTTGTAGCCTAAATATCATAAAACCGCTTAACTTGAACAATTATCAGATAACACCCTTAAGATTTAAAATATCAAAAAACCACCCTTAAGTTTAGGACTTATCATAAAACTCGCTTCAACTTTAATATTTTATCAAAAGATCCTCCAATGGCGTTAACCACAATGTTTCACTTGAGCGGATAAAATTACACATGGGGATATTTTTTCCAGGGATAAATTTTTAAAATAGACCACATTAGAAATTTAATTTAAAATAACGACCCCTTTGAGATTTAGTTACCATGTCCGACATAGTTTCTACCACTTGGTTGAAACGGGGTCGAAAATGATCAAAATGTTTCAAAAACTTCACGGGATGCTAAATCTCATGAAGTTTTAGTTTGGTGATTATTAGGCTTAGGCTGGTTGTATTTATTAGGCTGGGTAATTAAGTACTAAAACTTCGCGGGATTTAGAACCCCGTGAAGTTTTATTTACCATTTTCAACCCAGTTTCAGCCCGCTGGTTGAAACCAGATCGAAAATGGTGAATAAATTGCAAATGAGTAGATTTTTACAAATAAATTACAAATATGGTCTATTTTAAAAATTTATCCTTTTTCCAGTGAAAATTGTTGGTTCATACTTTTAAGGAGGTTTTTTAACAAAATCTTAAATTTAAAGGGGAATTTCTGATCACCCCCGAACTTACAGGGGTTTTCTGATATTTTGGAAGTCATGAGGGTTATTTGGCAATCATCCAACAGTGAGGGGGTTTTTTGTAATATTGGATAAGTAAACTTTGGAGTGTTATATGCAAATTATACTACATATAACACTGAGTTAATATGTTTTACACCATACGAGAGTAAATTTTTAATCAAGTTAGGGAACAGGAAAAAAGTGACGAAAATTGAGGTTTGGTTCATTTAAGCATATGGATTTACAAAAAATCTCCTAAAAAGTTCTGCAAGTCTAAAGTAAAAAAATATATATATAAACAACCCTCCGAACAATTATAAAAACACCATCAATAATGTAAAATTCAATAAAGATCACAAAAAAATTCAGAAAAATCAAAACTTACAAAAACACTAAAATTTTCAGAACATACTAACAGCCTCGGACCATACACAAAGTTTGTAGAAAACTCCCTTAAAGTTTTAAAAATTAAGAAAAATACCCTAATTTTTTTTGAAATTTACAAAAAAAATCTAAAATTTTCAAAATGTACAAATAGTACATTGAAATTCTAGGAAATCTAAAAAACCCCTTAAAAAGAAAATTTACTGAAAACACCCTAAAAGTTTTATTAATTAAAAAACCCTCAAAGTTTTTACAAAAGCACCCTAAGAATTTCAATGCTATGAACTATACTGAAAATATGAGAATTACAAAATAGATCCCTAAAAATTATGGAATTTTTATAAAACACCTCGGAAGTTTTGAATTTGCAAAACACAATCTCATACTTCAAAATGTATAAAAACACCATGAAAGTTCAAACTTATAAACAATATACAAAAATATAGGATTGCAAACAACCCCTAAAAATTTAGATTATCTAGAAAACCACCCAAAAGTTTCAATAATTACAACAACATTTTCAAGAATTAAAAAAAATTCAAAATAACACCCTAAAATTTCAACTATACAAACAGTAAAGTGAACAAATTATAAATTTGAAATTTGTGAAAAACACCCTTAAAGTTAGAAAATGCAAAAAACAATCTAAAAGTTTTGAATATTTCATAAAACACCCTCAAAAAATCAAAATTTATAAAAGATACTTGTTGTAAGTTTTGATCTATTTAGGGTGTTCTTTATAAATTTTGAATCTTTGTGGGCCTTTTTTATGATTTTTTGTAACTTGCATGGTGTTTTCTGGCCAAAACTCTCGTGGGGTGCTTGTAATCCAATATTGTCAATGAAATATTTCTAGATTTGAAATTTTAGTGCCTGTTTTGTAATTTTTGAGACGTTTTCTATAATTTGTGAAACTTTTAGGGTGTTTTCTATGAATTTTAAATTGATCGTGAGGCTTTTTATAATTGTCAGATTTCTAAGGGAGTTTTTTTTATAAGTTTAACATTTTGAGGGGGATTTTTGTAATTTATTCATTTTGAGCTGAGAGTGGTAGAGATCCTTTTAGGTTAATTTTTAAGCATTATGACATATTTTCCCCACTAACTGTTCCAGAGTACTATATAATTATTATGTTAAAGTTTAACCCCGATTGCTTTAACTTATACCAAACAAACAACTGAACAAGCCCTAGTGTTGTCTGAGGCGGGGTTTTTTTTTTTAAAGAGGGAGTTGTTTATTCGACAAATAATTTGAGAGTTTAATTGGAGAGTTGCACTTTTTTTATATATAAATATTTAATTTTATCCTAAATAAAATCAAATTCACAAAATCTTGCATGGTATTAGAAAAAACTACTATCCTAACAGTGGAAATCCTACACAGTGTTGTTGGGTTTTAAAAAATTAGATTAGATTAGATACTTTTTTCATTATCACCTAATTAAAGAAAATACAAATGCCTGTCGCTCTGATACGGTCATCGCCCCTTGGAGTACTCATCCTACCCGCCGGTTTCTGGCCGTTCCCTGGGAAAAGTAGATTTCGCCCCCGTGTGGTGATTCCAGTTTCTTATACTGGGCCCTGAAGTTAAGGGACCCGCACGTCAGGGAGAGCGTGGAAGATTGTGAAACCGGTTTCTCTCTATTTCCAGCGCCCGCCACGAGCCACGCCCCCGCCACGTGTCACCCAGAGGGGATACCTCTTTCTTCCCCACTCTCCACAGTTCAGTAATTAACCACCGTTTCTCTACTCTCAATTTCCACCGCCTTCGCCATAACCTAAGGGACCCGCACGTCAGGGAGAGCGTGGAAGATTGTGAAACCGGTTTCTCTCTATTTCCAGCGCCCGCCACGAGCCACGCCCCCGCCACGTGTCACCCAGAGGGGATACCTCTTTCTTCCCCACTCTCCACAGTTCAGTAATTAACCACCGTTTCTCTACTCTCAATTTCCACCGCCTTCGCCATAACCAGCATCACGTTCGCTCTTCGATCTCCTCTCAAACGATGGTACGTCGCGTTGATCTTCCTCTCCCAGCCTTCTTGTTTTCGATTGCATGTGATTAATGTAACGTAACACCCAGAATATTGAAATTAACTAACTACGCTGCAGGTTCGAAGGTTTAGCACCTTATTTCGTCTGTTTTTTGGCATATTTTAATTATCTGGTTGATTTTACTTTATTTTTTTGGTGGATATTTGTTTGAGATTTTATCTGGAGATGAATCGTCTGTCCCAGGAGTTAATTGAGCGTCTGTCCCAATTGAAGGTTGAGGTTAATCTTACATCTTTAACTAAATCACTCTAATACCCGCGAAGTGTTGCGCACAATTTCTGTAAATTTTAGCATCACAAGTTGTGCTTAATTGATCCTATGTGTCTCCAAGAGTTGGTGCCTCATTCTCTCTTCTGCCTCCTTTTCACACTCCTGGCCGCCTCTCTCTTTCCCGACACGCTCGCTAGTTCTAGATCTTATATCTTGTAAGTGGTCGTTTTGCTTATTAGATTTGATTGGGTCTATATGAGGCAATTGAGTTAAATGTGCTTCTTGATGGAGTCATTTGCTTTAACCATGTCTGGAATTATATTTACGTCATGGGAACGTTGGAGGATTAAACTCTAGTCGGAGGAAGGTCGGTGGATGAAAATGTGGATTATAGTGCATGTCCAGCAATGCATTGGTGCACAATTTGTTTGTACCTATGAATGCATGCTACATTTTATCTTGTTACTTCTTTTGAGGGATCAAACTGTATTTGAGTTTCTATGTATGTTTGTATTTCCTAATTATCTTGTTTCATTATTAACTTGTTAATCAAACGCTGGGGCTTAGGCCTCACGTTTTCTCCCAAAAAAAACTTATTGGGTCTGAAAAATGATAAAGTGATATGGAACTTGAGAAATACCGAGAAGACCATGATCGGAAAGCGGAAAAAAGTTACACCATCTCAAACTTGAGCTAGCCCATCAGTATACAAGATATGCATGTGAACTGCATGCTTATTCTTATTCACATCTAAAAGCAATATTTAATAAGATTCTGACTTTAATCATTGAATTTCCTATTTTCATCTCTCCAAGTGATAAATGGGGTGACCTTTTTTGTGCTCTGTCAACAATTATTAAATAAGGTAGAGGTCTGACTTTTTAGACTCAAAAACTCATGAATGTTATGTCTATTGCTTTTGTTAATTTGAATTAATTCTCTTTTCGAGTTCCAGTATGGCAAAAGCTGACTTCCTCTGCTATAAGTTTAAAGTGACAAATGGCCCCTGTAAACTATAGCATTATTGGAAATTATATTATCCCTAGCCAGTTAGCATGTGATTTTAATACAAGATTATTTCAAAGTGCTGAAGTTACGTTGTAGATCACACTCCTATTGAGAGCCATACTAATTACCATGTTCAGGAGTTATAAGCACTTAAACCCTCGATTTAAAAAGTGTCATTGTTTCTTCCAGCTTTATTCAAGGAGTATCCTCTTATTCGCCTGGATGAAGAACGAAATAGTTCTGATCTTGTTTTAGTACTTAGAAGAACAATATGTAGTTTTTCCTGACATCTGTAACACAACACAGGTGAGTATACATAATAAATTCTGGGATCTCATGTCCCGTAGAGTTCAGGTTCATTCTTATATGAATGTCTCCAGATATCATCATAAGGTTTGGAAGGTAGGGATGATTTTCCACTTTATTTGTTCCCTAATTACTCCGTCACCTCTCACAACTATCATTCCCTGCAACTGTCCAGAAGCGAAAGCAAACCATTCCGGCAGAACATATAAAACACAGAGGAAGAGTTTGTGAGGTTTACGCACTCAAGGAGGGATTAAAGTATATCGATGAAGATTTTTTCGACGATTCAAAGGTAAAATTGGACTTCTAATGTAGTAATATTAACTTGGACATAGTAGTGTAACTTGACTTCTGATATCAATAGGTTAAAGAAATGATGAGAGGTGCAAAAGAGTTCAACATACCAACATTCAGAGAGAACCGTGAACTTGTAGCATCTGAAGACGGAGGCCTGCATAATCCATCAGTTCTTGTATTCAATTCATCTTGGGGAAGCAATGAAGCTCCAATCAAAGTTGAAAAGTTTAATTATCCTTCTCTCTCTGGAGTGCAGAGGCCAACAAAGGAAGATGATATTGCCTTCATGACGGTAAATTTGTATCGCTGGGTTAAATACGCAGTTTGGTTTTGAGAATTTGTATTAGGCGCCAATCCATATAGCGAATCTGTCATTTAATTCACTATTCTTTAACTTTGTACGATGTCTAGGAAAATTGTAGAGGATTTCTCCTTTTATGATTTTTAATTACACGCTCAATATGATAATAAGGTACTCATCCCTATTGGCCAATTGAACCCATTGGCTTTTGGCCATACTTCTTATCTTGAAAGTTAGCACCAACTCAGAGGGTTGATGAGTGATATAGATAGCCATTATATTTGGTAATCATTTGAGGTGGAAAGAAGAACTAGATGATGACGGTGATGACATGTCATTGATTTTTCCCTCATGTATGATTGATTCCTTGCCAGGTACTTGAACTAGGAGTACTAATTAGAACCAAGAAGATCACTTCACTGGAGCTTACAGACATTTTTCTTCAAAGATTGAAGAGGTATGTTGAGGATCTGAATTTTATATATAATCACTTATGTCTTTTTTTGTTTTTTTTTCCTCCTCTCCTCCTCCTCATTTTTTTAATGAATGAATGGATGGATAAATTAGATTAACTCCTATCTTTTCCTATAGGCAATGAGAAGAATCCTCTCATGTGTAACTCGATTATTACCTTGTTGTCACATGCTGTGTTTTTGGAAATTTAGCTTGTGTACCTTTTCTTGTGGTTGTAATATGATAATGCTTTAAAGATCATTTTTATTGTTACATCCAAAATTCTAAATGATTTCAGTTATCGGAAATTCTATAGGTATAATCATGTCCTTGAAGCCGTGATTACATATACTGAAGAGTTAGCACACTCGCAGGCGAAGGAAGCAGATAGACTGCTTGAACAAGGAATTTACCTGGGTAACTCCCTTTTTCTTTTTTGTTGAGAAGAAAAGGATGGGACTCGAATGATAAAAGACACAGCCTGCTACAAATTTTGTACTATTTTACTAAAACTGTATTAGTGCTTGTCATAGATGATCACAATTCATAATTTAGAATACTTTACCACGGGGATCTCTAGAGAGGAGGTTTTGTGTTTGTGTGTGTGGGGGCTCATAGATGAGAAGTTGCTGCTGCTTCTTTTTTTTTCCTTTTTTTTTCTTTTTTTTTCTTTTTTTTTCTCTGGGAGCAAATATCTATAGCAAGTACCATATTGTCTCCATAAAATTGGACCACTAGTAGTATTTACTTTGGCTCGTTATTAGCTGAAGTCCTTCATACGGAACTTCTAATTTGTGACATGAGCTACAGGTCCTCTCCACGGAATTCCATATGGGTTGAAAGATATCATATCTGTTCCAAATTACAAGACCACCTGGGGTTCAAAAATGTTCAAAGATCAGGTTCTCGACATTGAAGCTTGGGTGTATAAAAGGTGCATCTTGAGGTTTTGTTTACTTTAGATGCTGTAAAACTCTTTAATTTGGTCTCTTTTTTTTTTCAAAATCATTAAATTTTGTTCCAGGCTAAAGAATGCAGGAGCTGTTCTTGTGGCAAAGCTTGTTACTGGGTCGCTGGCTTATGATGATATCTGGTTTGGGGGAAGGACCCGTAACCCTTGGAATATTGCGGAGTTTTCTACTGGTTCATCAGCTGGGCCTGCTGCCAGCACCTCTGCAGGTGTTCATCTTTGCTTTGAAGTAACTTACACTATTCTCCTTGATTTTTTTAAGTAATAGCATAGTAGGAATTGTGAACACGTGGGGTGTGGGGACCACACCCCACGTTCTGTTACCCACGAGCACGAGATGCGTCTCGTGCTCATTCGTGGGGGGCACTTGTGTAAACGCGTTCTGTTAACGCGTTTTTCGGCCGAAGCTATAAATAGAAGATTCTAGGGTTTCGTGAATTTGGTTTTTTTGGGGTGAAAACGCAGAAGCCTTTGCGGGAGAAAAACGCAGCCGTCCTTTTGAAGAAATAGGTTATTTTGAGCAGCCCTTTTTTTAGGGTTTTGAGCATCTTGTAGAGATATTGTGAGGGATTTTAGAGTTTGTTTGAGGGTTTAAGTTGTGAGTGATTGTAAACCCTAGTTGTAATCTCTCTCTCTAATAGTAGATCTCCCCCTCCTTGCTCCGTGGACATAGGCAATTTACCAAACCACGTAAATTGGTTGTATCACTATTTGTGTGATTTGTAATAGCTTTTAGGTTCTCTCGACAGGTTAGTCCTAGAACTGATGAGAGGAAGAGCTGATATCTCACTTGGTTGAGATATTTTGCTTAAGGTTCTTGTTTCCTTGGTGAAACAGGTTTTCCTATTGCAACCTGACTCTTTTGTTGTGCTGCCGAAGTGCTACCGAAGTGCTGTCGAAATTTTCACTGCGCACAACAAGTGGTATCAGAGCCCAGATTTCAGATCTAGGATTTTGGAGTTTGGTGGAGGAAGATTCTTGTGTGAAGCTTGTGTTAGACCCTAGATAGGGTGATTAGGGTGTTATGCTAATCTAATCCGATTTTATGCTAATTAAAATTAATTAACAAGTTATCCTAATAAGAATAAAATACAATAATATATATGAGCTAGGATGAGCAATATGAACTAATGAATATATCCTAGCAATGAGATATTACAAATATATGAGCAAGGATATATAAACAACACAAGGGTAAATAATGTAAACAAAGAGGTGGACAAACTAACTAATGAGACAAAGGTGATATGAGCAATGAGCACAAATATAAATGAATGCCAAAGCACACACAAACACAATCAAATGATCACAGAGTTCGGACCTTCTATCCTACGTCTCCGCTCCCCACTCCCGGGGAGAAATCCACTAACACAACCGGATTTTCTACGCTTACCCGAACAACGTTTACACCTCACACTCGATTTTCTAGCTAACCGAAAACTTTACAATCACCACTCTTGTAATCTCACTCTACACCCTCTCAAGTGTTGAACTAGACATGTCTCCCTCAAGTACTCGGTTACAACCTCTTCCTAGGTTCGTCAAGCGACGCCACTCCTCTTGGGACGATCCCCGACTCTCGCCACACACTTCTCTCGTTGTACAAGTGTATTACAAAGTGAATCTCACAATAAGGCTCAATACAATAAATCTTTGTTCTCTACTATGGATGAGAACATAATGAAAGCTCACACTCAAATGTTACAACTCTCACCAACCCAAATATACTATGTATGAAAATACGATAAGATCAAGTGTGTGTGTAAACAATGAGTGAATCAAATCAACTAAACTCAAATGTAAAACTAGCTTTAAATAAGATGATAATCAAGAAAATAGATATAAAGCTAGAAAAGAGTTTAGGAAAACTTCTCAATAGATGACAAGAGATGGAAGGAGAATAGTTGGATGCCCAAACACCAATAGATGATCTCCTCAAGCTCTTGTGAAATTGATTTCACAAACTCAAACTTCCAAATGCTTAAAAGCTTCTTAAACACACTTAAACCAAACTAAAACCTTTGTTAAAACTCTTTTAAACTTGGTTAAGAAACTCTCTTAGTTGTTGCTGAAAGAGGAGAGCAATGTGGTATTTATAGTCTCTCAAAACATCAGCAAAACCTAATAGAAAAGACTAAAAAACCATCAGAAAACAGCTGGAAAAAATAGCCGTTGGAACTGAAAAGACAGAGCGGAGGTGATGGGGACATCCGGACGCGTACACGAGATTTTCGCCGAGTTTATCAGCGCAGGAGGCGCTATGTTGCATCATTATGGTTTTGAATTCAGTTGTAATAAATTAGTTTGAATTTTAAATTTTGAATTTCAAAATTTCGAATTTTGATTTGGTAGTTATTGAAATGATGAATGAAATTGATTTGCTAATTAATGGTGTGAAACCCTAGCTTATTGATTTTTGATCAGCCGTCATTCTCTTCCTCAAAGAAAATCAAATTTTGTACTGTTCATCGTCTTCTTCCAGCAACCAACTTCCAAACCCACAAACGAATCCACCCCCTCTCCTCATTCGGCTCAAGCAACCACCCTGACCTCCACAACCGCTGCCAACATCAACCCCCTCCTCCGCCTAAACCCTCACCTCCGAATCCCCAACTCCAGCAACCGCCCAGCACCACCCGACCAGGCCGCCGCTGCCTTCACCCGCGTCGCCGTCCACCCAGGCCGCCACCGCCTTCACCATTCGAGAGCGTGCCCGAGTACGTTGAGCGTGTGACTCATCAGATCGTTGACAGCGTAGAGAGTAGTTTGGGAATCAGTTCGTGGCATCGGCGTTTCCATCCAGATACACCACTCCATCCGAATTACGCCGCCCTCGGTGGAGAGCTTCCACCCCTCATATTTGGCGTCGTTGAACCACCTCCAGAGGATCCTCCCGTCGAACCAGTTCAACCCGACGAAGGTTCAACTTTCTTTCGCCCAATTATTTTCGGAACTGCTATTGCTTGCATGTTGTTATCAATATTACTATCGATCGTATTTGTGCTGTAATCAGTTTGACTAAGTGAGCGAGCGAATCTGTTGCTAAGTATTTTTACTTATCCAAATATTACACTTTGAACTGTATTGAGAGAACGAATCATTACATTTATTTTCTGGATCATTTACAAAAGATTTGAACTTAGTACATTGCAACTTTTGCTTAAAACCCATCGAAAGCTACATTTTGTTCTTGAGCTTCCTGCCTAGATCGATCGCTGATTTGGCGAAGCATTGTTGTCATTAATCTTCATACCTGCATCACATTGTTTCGCATCATTTTTGGTATCAGAGCCAGGTTCTAGGTTAGGAAATTTGTGAGTCTTTATTATTTTAAAAAAAAAATAGTCATTTCATTTAATTTTTGTGCACCCACCCATTTCATCGCATTTATTTGTTAGTGCTTGCCCACTCGTACCGGTCTACCCTATCGCTTAGGAGAGTCAAGTGAGTCGACTAGTGAGTCCAGTATGTCAGGTAGTAATGATCCCGAACTCTATAAGAAACTCGATGAACTAGCAGGACAATTAGGTGCCGTAGTCCAGGGTTTAACGAATCTTCGAAATGAAACCAACGAAAAGTTTGCTAGGCTCGAAGAAGCTCGTGTTGCAACTCCACCACCACCAGATCAAGGTTATCAACATATCGCCCCACCGCTGCAAGGTCAAGGCTATGGAAACTTCGTTCAGCGGCCCCCACATCAACCGGTACCTGATCCGGATGCGCAATACCTGAGGAGTATTAAGATCAACGCCCCAACCTTTGACGGCAAGCTCGACCCACAAGCTTTCTTGGACTGGCTGAAGAGCATGGATCGTTATTTTGATTGGTACGCCCTGACGGAACCCCGAAAGGTCAAATTCGCCGCTATGAAACTTACCGGACCTGCTTGCCAATATTGGACCAACCTCGAAACGTTGAGGCACATTAGAGGTGAGTTACCGATTACAACTTGGCGAGAAATGACCAATGAACTTAAACAGAAATACCTTCCGCCATCATTCTATCATCGGTTGTTAGATAAGTGGCATCGCCTCACTCAAGGAACCAAATCTGCGAAAGACTATGTCGCACAATTTGACGAACTGTTCACTCGATGCAACACTATTGAACAAGAGGCGCCAATGAAAGTCTTGTCGAAGTTTAGAGCTGGATTGAGAAATGATCTGCAAACCGAACTCTTTGCTCGGGGAGTAGACACCCTTGAAAAAGCTTACGCGTTAGTTCAAGATCTAGATGAAGCCAAATCCCATCAATCTTATAGGAATCAGGATTTTAGAGCTCATTCTTCCCAATCTTCCCGTGCCACTACTTCTAGTCATCCTCCGAGTCGATCTAACCCCAGTTCTTCCCAGTCTAAAGTCGATTCCAAAGGCAAGGAACCGGAGAAAGATTTCTCCAAGATTGGCGCTCACGTCAAGTGCTACAAATGCCAAGGGTATGGGCATGTTTCTGCGAACTGTCCGACCCGTCACAAGGTGACTATCATCGATGGACAATACGAATATGAACCTGAGCCTGACAGTGATGAGTTTGTCCATCAAGTTGACGATGATACCGATGATTTCGAGGATGATGCTGATGATACTATCTTGAGTTGTCTTAGACAAATTGACCCTCCTACCGTATCAGTTGTCAGATGCGCCATTTCTCAACCCAAGGCTGTTGATGATTGGAGACGTACTTCCATTTTCCACACGTTCACAAAGATTGGTGATAAAAATTGTAAAGTGATCGTGGACAGTGGAAGTTGCATTAACGCGGTCTCCTCAGCTGTGATCGCTAAGCTTGGTCTCAAGGTTGTACCCCATCCTAATCCATACAAGGTATCATGGATTAACGACACCGCCCTCAATGTCCAAGAGAGATGCCTAGTCCCTCTTCAATTTGCCATTTATAAGGACAAAGTTTGGTGCGATGTTTTGAAAATGGATGTGGGTCAAGTTATTCTTGGAAGGCCCTGGTTATTTGATAACGACGTTCACATCTTCGGGCGATCCAATATGCTATTGTTTGAACACGACGGGAAGAAGGTCAAGATCCTTCCGGTTCAACCAAAAGGAACTGACAAGAAGACCGACCCAAATAAATCTTCCCAAGGTGTTAACCTGATTGGAGCCAAAGAAATTGATCGTGAACTGGCCAACGGAGCTCCTATTTTCGCCCTCGCCGCTAGAGAAGCTCCGAAGGATATTTCTAACGTGGTTCCCCC